AAATTTTTCTGTGTATGATTTTAAAATTATACATACATACTTATATATATATATATTATGTTATTTTTTCCCATTAGGGGACCATTTTATGTATATATTAATAATAAGTGAGAGTAAAAACATAATTCCGTAATGAATTGCCTAAAAGTAGGCAATTTTATTAATAAATGATATGTGAAATGTTATTGCGTTTTATTTGTTATAAAATTTAACATAGCCATTTTCAAAAAATTTTTGAATTTATTACATATATGCATAAAATAGGTATGCATATCTCCAATTTAATTAATATTAATTGAATTATTGCTATTATTGTTCTTTTTGTAATATAAATTTAATTTAATTTTTTGTGTGCTTAACCTTGATAACGTTAAGAAGTAAGAAAACTCATTTTATGGTAATAATTTTATGGTTTAACATATATGATCATATTATGTAATGTATATACATAAAATTACGCAAACAATTAAAATATTTATTTATCGAACATGTTATGTATTGAAAATGCACTTAATTAATAATTTAAATTAAGTGTGCAGCTTCGAATTATTTATTATAACAATTGGAATTAATATTATCTGCTATATTAAATATTAAATATTAAATTCTTAATGTTATATTATTGTATATCTACCATATTAATATTGATTTATTATGTAAGGTAATGTGTTCTATTTTATTTCCGGTATTGTAGAATGTGCTTACGTAATAACGCACTTAATAATTCGTACGTAAAATAAAACAGAAATATTTTCACAATTAATTTTGATTACATTTAAACTAATACAATGCCACCGCCTCTCATTTACACAATAAGTGCTCCATTGTTTCGACCTCCTCAAGGTATATACGGCAGATCCCGTCCTTCGCTCTGCCCATCCGTTTCAAATTACCATCGACAGGCAGTATCCACCAATAGTCATAAATTTGGACGACCAAGTATGACCAAATTCAATCCGCCAGTCGCAAAGGATACATATGATATTTAAGCTTTTTTTCCATCAGAATTTTCATAAATCAAAAATTGTACACTATCCGTGAGGGCGGGCAATTCCGTGAGGGAATTTAGCTCCATCTGTTTTTTTTTACATTTAAATTGATTGCTGGATTAACAATTTTCTATTGTAGACGGAGAAAAGGTTAATTATCGGAACCATTTTAAATACTATATGTAGGCATGCAGCTTTGTTGCTTCGAATAATTACTTATGAAAATTATTAAAATTTTTTTTTTAAAAATTTGTCATGCAAAAACAAATGCAGTTTGAACCGTATAATGTGATCTTATACCTCATACTATATGTTTATATAATTTATTTAAATATAGAGTAATAACATAATGTATATATGTATATGTATAAACGTACATATCCTATAGGGTAATTTGTTGGTTTACTTTCTTAATTTGACTTTTTGTTCTCATAAATTTAAACTTAAATCTTTCTGTTTATTATAACAAATAACTTGTAAGTTTGTATAAAAAAAGTTTCTTCCTTGTTAAATGAACGTACGTATATATAGTGTATACAGTTTAAGAAGAAAACACGATTTACACGTATTCACGTACAAGATGTCACTTATGACGCTTAAAGTTTAAATCTCTATAGACTAAAAATAATATTGTGCGACTCACACATAATAAAAAAAGTTTTATTTGAAAGGAAAACTTAAAATGAAATGAAATTTAAGTTTCCTTTTGAAATTAAATAAGAAAAAGAAATTTTTGTTTTTTCTCATTCTTCTTTATAATTTTTCTTGTTTACCTGTAAAATGAGGTGAGTTCATATTATGTATGAGTAGTGAGAAATATTTATGATTTTTTTACCTAACTTTCACCTATGTGCATAATATACAATTTATTGCTTTATGGCGCAAACAATATTTTTCACTCTCATATATTTAAAAAAACAAAAATCTTTAATTTATAAGTACCAAATTTATGGCAGAAAGAGGTTTCGAAGCAGGAATGATGTACAAAAATGGTGAAACGGTGAAAAATCTATGATGACATATGATAATGATTATAGAAAAAGTTTTAGAACACATAGAAAAACAAAAAGGAGAGGAAAAGGAAAACTAAGTTAAAAAATTATTCTACAAATTCCAGTATGAAAGTTTTTGCAAAATTCATTGAGGCAGAGAGTGTCATATTATATAATACAAGTTTAATAGAATAAAATATACGCCCTTATATACGATATTCAAGAAAATTGTGGCGATTTCTTTTGTTTGCAATTTTCTTCTATTTCTATTTTATGTACTTACTTAATTTTTCTTATATTCTTTGGAACCAACCCTCCCTCTAAGGGATAATTTTACGCATAAAAGAAGAAATGGTTGTTTTATTGTTGAATTTTTCTTTTTTTTTTCTATTTATTTTTCATACAAAAGTTTTATAAAGCAAAAGTATCAAAATAAAAAAAAAATGGAATTTAAAGGTCTCATAAATTTGGTATTCAATTTTGTAATGTTATAAACTTTACGAATTGATGTTGATCCATACAAGCTGAAACATAAATTCAGGCTTAAATAATTTACAAATCCATTTTTGGTCAGAATTTACTAACATTAATAATACTCTTATTCGTTATTGAGAAGTTACTTTCGGATTAAGACCGAAAATTTCGTGCAATATTTTAAAGCAAATATTTAAAAAAAAATTTAGTTTACCATGTAAAACGATAAATTCCTTTCAAAATTTTTTGAACTACAGAAAATTGTAATAATTGTAAGTTCGGGTCTGTAATGTAGACGATATAAAACGATTTATAACTGTTATACAAATGGACAAACTATTTATTTTGTTTGTGTCTGTAGTAAAATACAGAAAATGAAAAAGGAGCCGCAATAACATTTCTCTATAAAAATATTAAAAGTAAAATCAGCTGAATACGTCGTTCATGTGATATATACGCAGCGAATTCAGTATTGCCGTTGCTTTAAATCTTAAATTTATGGTTTCCATTTCTCTTTAATTTAAATCGAAATTCATAATACCTTATTTTTGAGAGATATGCGTGTGTCATAATCGCTGGAATCATACAAATTCAACTATGTATGTAATTTCTAATAAAACTTTAAATTAACTGCATTGACTTATTGCTAGGTTTTAATAATGGAATGTATTAATGAAAAGCTCGAATCTCATGTGAGAACAACGTATCGTCATAATCACAATAATTACTCAAATATTTTTGTTGTGTGAGTCTTAATAATTTTTTTAAAAATTTGAATTCGATTAAAAAACTGCGTATAAATCTTCCGGTGTGCTGGTATGCTGCTAAAATAAAATCGTATTTCTATTTTATACAAGTTAAGGAAGTAAAAACTTAAACCAAAAAATAAAAATTCTTTACAACTCACGAATTTTAAAAGAAAACTTTTCTTTTACTTTTCTCATTTTCTCTAATATTTTCTGTTTATTTTTCTTATTAAAGAATTTTCACCGAATATTTTCTTCAAAAAAAAACTTTTACGTTTCCAAATATTTTACACATATTTTCACGGGTATACGCATGTATCTAACTTAAAATAATCTTCCATATATAAATTTCGTTTCATATGCAATTTTGCTGTCGAGCAACTTAAATAACGCAAGTCTAAAAATCATATGCAAATTATTTGATAATTTTCAACTCCTATACGCTCTCCCTCTCTTTACTCCCATTTTCTACTCATATATTGCCAGATTAAAAACGAAGTGACAAAAAAGTTTTATGGGTGTAGGTTTCATTGTTCTTAAAATTCTTTTTTATTTAGTTTTTAATTTTATTATTTACTCTACATGTTTAAATTTTATTTTAAAAAAATTTTTTTCCCCGGATTTTATGTCAGAGCAAAAATGTGTGGGAGTTACAATTTTATACTAATTTTTCTTTTATCTAATATTTTAAAAGTTTTGTAAATAAAAATCAAATTAATTAGATTTTAAATTTTATTAGATTTGAAATTCGAAGCACATACGTGCACACATAATATTTGCGTTTTCCATTTATAAATTGTGCAAAAGAATCGATAAAATTTGAGATGGAAATTAATTTTTTTTTGTTTTTCCCAAATTTTTATGTGTATAATATTTATTGTAAAAAAGTAAATTGACGGAAGAAATGTTAAGTTGACAATTTCTATTTGAAAACACAATAGATCTATTGACAATATTAAATAAAATATTTTGGCCTATTCTGTACATTCCGAATCACAGAGACGAAGAAAAATCAAGTAAAAATTTTTGTGGATTCATATGAAGCGGGCATTATTGACTTAGGGAAAGCCTGATTATTGAGAACTGAAAATTTGAAATATCTCTGAATGTTCTGTAGACAAGAGGAAACAGTTTTGTTGTTCTTTTTAGGCTAATGTGAAGGTTCAATTAATTAATAGTTTCCCTAGGAAAAAGAGTCTGAATTCTATTTTACAAAGGATTATAAAATTTTTGGGGGAGATTGATTCCGAGTAAGTGTTTAAAGCACCATAATTGAATAGTCTCAATCAGATTCAGCTTGTTTCTGGATCACAGTACACAATCTTCGGTCTAAGATCATGTAACAGTAAACGAAATTGACGAAAATATTGAATCTCAAGAATAACTGACAAAAAATTGTAGAATAAGCCAATAAATTATTAGATAAATTCAGAAAATTAATTTCGTCATATTTGAAATTATGAAGTTTTTAACTTCAAACATCTAAAAGAAATTTCTAGAAAAACCATTTTTGAAATAGCAGGATTTCAAATATTCGATCAATTCGCATAATTTGGAGATTAACTAGGTCAATATAATAGTTTAAATATAAGCCAATTTAACTATACATTATATACTTAATGTCACCTGTTAACTGATAGTGGAAAATTTTACAAGTTCCCACCGCAAATTCTAGGTATTTCATCTATTTTACAAATTAAAATTTCTGAATTTATCAAGATTATTTTCAATACATACATTTAAATTTTATAAATTGCAAAAATATATAAAAAAATTTTTTTATATTTTAATTATTTCAGATTGGCAGGTACAGAGACAATTATCTGTATCATCAGATAGTAAATTATTAGATGACGATATTAGAGAAGAAACAATAGTCATAATGAGACCAAAAAAACCACCTAGACCTAAATCAGAAGTATTTTTAAATAAACCGGACCTGCATCCAAGACGAAAACGTTTTAGTGCATTCGGGGTAAGTAAACAATATAAAAACTTAGCTTATAAGCATAAAATCTAAAAGTTCAGCACAATTATTGAGAATTTTAATTTTTTACATTCGCCATACTTATGCATATATTTGAAATAATAGACTTTCAAGACCTTCCCTTCCTATACATAACATACACAAATTTCGAAATATAATTTGGCATTTTTGTTAAGCAATTCTGTATATAAGGATTACAGACAAGAATTTGATTATACCAAAAAAATATTATACAATGTTCAGAAACCATTCTATTCATTCCTCTTCACTTTTTTTTATTCCCCGGTTTCTGTTATTATAAAATTACACCATAATTTTTGGATATTTATGAATAGGAATTACATAATAAACTTAACGGTTCATAGTACCATAATCTTCTTTAATGAATCTTCTTTTCTTTTCTCTTCTTAGTCTTACTTGTATATTGTTAAAAAATATGCCATTTATGTTAAAAACAATAGTAACAAAGTACAACATTTATTTGTTATACAAACATGTATATGTGTTATATTATGAATTTATACACATACACATAATATTTTTGATAATGTGTATGTGTGTATAATAGACTAATTTATTGTTTTATACTGAGATTTTATCAAATGTAGACTGAAATGTTGAAAATTTGCATAATTATAGCAATAAAAAAAGACAACAGGAACAACAGCAAAAAAAGACACATTTTTCCTTTTTGGTTTCTTTTTCTTAAAGTTTCCCGTTGTCAAAATATTTTCAAAAGTTTCCTATTGTACAAAAACCAAACAAAAAAACAAAAATTAGATACAAAACACAAAAAGGATACATGAGGAATAAAAGCATTATGAAAATGAATGAAAATGAAAAAAAGGAATTTTAAAAAAGAAGAAGAAGAAGAACATTGAAATTTTAGAATTCTTAGAAATTCTCTTTTGAAACAATTTATATAAAGAGAGAGAGAGAGAATCATATTATTATAGGAAGTTTTAATTATCTTTTTGTTAGTCAGTATTGTTCTTCTATTACTAAATAATAATAAAAATTTTTGAATTTGAAATATAGTCTAAGGTAATTAGGGTTTAAAGAAAATTTATATTCGGTTTTCATATTCGCTCTTCATTCATATATTCGCTTATATAATAGATTTAAAATTTTTTCAATTATTTGAACTTCAGACCTAATTGTCTTTGACTTATATATTATAATAAAGAGAATAATAGTGTAATATTATAGTGCTCTATTTGATTTCTGGAGCGATTCTACAAAAAATAGATAATATTTGTTTATATAGGATGTGTCCTATTAAAGTGCACTGCTATATATATTTGTATAGAGTGTCATGAATAGACAAAATTTTTGTATGGAGACGATGCTCACTGCCCAACAGGTTCGGAGTTACAGGGGCATAAAGTCAATCTCAATGGTTTTTTTTTTACTTTTTGAGATTTTAAGTATAACTTCGTGCTTGTTTCAGACAGGCACATTATCAAATGATTTGTGATAATATCCAAATCCAAATAATATATGATTTGGAAACCTCAGAATAAGGGCTGTCTCATGATTATCTACTAGATTCAGAATCACGTGACCTTGAAGCACGAAATTTAGTTATTGAGAACAATAAAGTACTGCAAATGTTATTTTGTACCAAAAGTTTTTCTTTAATGATTTAAAAACATGTGCAACAATCGTTCAAAATGGTGTCTTCCTTCTGTTATGCCAATATTTAACTTTACAACCAATTTTCCCTTACATATGCAAAAATTAATAGCTTATACAATGGTATATAACAGTACATTTTCATACGAGACACTCTCTGTATCTCATTTTAATAAGCCTTGTAATAATTTTAATGTATTCAACTGCAGTTCTAAAAGAATACTAAGTAAAACTATACTTACAATACGGAACAAAGAAGAGGATTAAATAAAATTTTCGAGTCTATTATGCAAAAAGTAAATACTTTATGGAATTTAGAAGTTTAAAATATTGATAATATTCGTACGTTTTTATGCCCTTAAAGAGTACGAAATAAAATTGGTGGTAGCTTTGAAGCCGGTATATAGGCATTATGTAAGCCAAAATGAAATTATTTTTTCCCCAAAAACATTTTTGATAAAATGTAATTTAAAATTTTTGTTACAAGTAAAATTGCATACTTTCAGGCGCCGGCGAAAGAGAAAAAATACATTAAAAATTGTCGAAAAAAGAAAATTTTTAATTGAATGCAAAAATAAATCCTTAAATAATAAAGAGAAATGTACTTTTCTAATTAAAAAATAATGATAGTATAAAATTTAAAACCACACTGAACTTCTATATTATTACAATAATTTAAAAATTATTTCAAATTTTATGTTCTTCTTTCACTTCTCTATATAATAATAAAATTTCAAGGATTTTCTCTAATTAACTTTCAAATATTAAGGCAAATTTCATTATATAATAATAAAATTTCTGAATAATTAACACACACATATATACAAAATAGTTATTTAATCCGGAAAAAGAGAATTTTACTTACTCAGATTTTAGGTGAAAATTTTTTTAATAACATAATAAAATTCTCTATTTTCCATTGAAATTACAATTATTATTTTTATTGGTAATTCAAAAGTTAAATAATAAAAATTTTATATATTTTGTTTTTGTAATAAAATTTTGGCATTAAATTTTGAACCTTAATTTAAACTAAATGAAAATAGATGCAATAAAAAAGTAAAATTATATTGGTAATATTTAGTACAACAAATTTTTTACAATTTTTAATTAATTGCATCTAGTTTTATTACTGAAAATTTAACTGAAATTTAAAAAAAACTCAAATTTTTCATTAGAAACCCCCCTGTCTATGCTTATTGTATTTTCAATTTTTGAATATTGCTTGTAAATTATGCCGAAAAATATTCATTTCAAATGAAAATAATGTTTGACTTAAAAATTTACGAAAATAATTGCAGTTCATTTGGTATAAGTGTACGGTGTACATAAAATACGTTGGGTCAAATTAATGGTTTGTAACGTAGGACTTTTCCTTTCAACAAGTGAAAATACTGCTTTAAAAACAATCTAGATATACACTACATTATTAAAATTACTTTCATTCATATACAAAAATATTTCAAGGATTGCATACATTTAGGATGAGACAAACAAAAAAAAATTGAGAATTTTAACATAATGCTCGAATTTAAGGGTTAATTGCATAAATTATTAAAAATAATTGTATTTTTTAATGGCATTGAATAGCTTTCTGCATTTATAGAAATTTGGAAAAGCCTGCAGTTTCGAAAATATATGGTGTCAAAAATTTAAATTTTACAAAATTCAAGAAACGGTAACTTTATAGGGGGGTAGAGGTAGAAAAAAAATTCTTCCAACGAAATGAATTTTGGAAAAGTGCTAAAAAATTTAATTATATTGTTTTGAATTGTAAATTTAACCATCATCTTACATAATTTTTTACTTAACTTAAAATTTTTCTACCTTAAACTAAATTTGAATTTTATTGTACAGCTCTCTAATATCAAAATGTTGTTACAATATTCTATACCACAATATAAAACTAAATCTATATTTACAATAAGATCCTTGCATCTAAAAGTCCCTCTATTATTACATTATTGAATAGATTGTATGAAAGAAAAGGATATTACAGAAAGCTGTAAAAAAGAAACCAAACAACAGAACAGTTTTTATATACGAGGTACTTTTGAACTTATTTTAACTTAGATTGCAACTTTAAATCTCTTTTTTTTTGCTTCTCAAGTTAATAAAAATAAACTTGAGACTGCATTTTATATTGTAAGTGTGACAACAACAAAAATAAAAAAAAGGATTGTATCTTTTCCTTAGAGAAAATAATAGAATTTACGATAATAAAATTTTCTTTTAGTTAAGTGCAAAATAGGGTGACCAGATATACGTCTTTCAAAAGAATTGTTGTCAAATCAAAAATTGAGTTATTTGAATTGAGTACATAAAAAATTTCGAATTGAAAGTGGATTCTAAAAGGAAAATAGTTGTAAATTTGTATGTGCTCCTAAAAAGTTCACCAGAATTTATAAATTTTCTTAGATTTTTTTTAACTCATTATTATTAAGTAAATTAAAATTTAAACAGCTAAAAACAAACGTACGTACTGCTAAAAACTACTGTACGACGAGTTAATAGAAAGCGTCTCATAAATTACAAATGCGTTAAACAAATTTAATGCTACTGTTTAGTCTCACTTTAAGCACTCTCTTACTTACAAGTTAATTTCGCGCGACATAAGCGTCACCGGTAACCTTAAGTTACTGGGATTCTAAGCCAAGTTACAAAGCAACCACCTTACCAACAATAAGTTCATGAATGAAAACTATATTATTTATTATAGATTCTTATATATGTTAGATTCAATTATCAACGCAAGTAACTAATTAATTCAGTAACTAATTAATAAACTGAGAAGTTTGAAAACCAAGCATGAAATTCTAAAATTCGATTTATCAAAATTAAATATTAATAAAAGCTAAATTTTTCAGAATTGAAAATCACACTGTTCACACTTTTAAAACTTTTGAAACTCTTCTGTTCTTTTGCTTTAAAAACAAATTCAATTCAATACAAAAATAATTTGATATTTTTAAAATAGAAATTTATGACTCCTGAAAAAAACAAAGTCATATTATTGTTCGGTAACATTGTCATCTAAGTAAAAGGTTAGTGGAGTTTGAAATGGAAAAATAAAAAAAAAAAATGATTTGTACTTTTTGTTTTTATCTTTATTTTCTCTTCGACTTTATTACGAGTATTTCAACCCTTCGCCCGTGTTTAACTCTTTTAATAAAATAAAAAATATCCAATCCTTGACAATCCTTGTATTATAGTACAATTTAGTGTAGGTTAAACCGCAACAAATGAAATTTAATATTTTTTTTTTTCGACTTTGAAAATTATCAAGGACCTGCTAATTTCGTTAAAACAAGCAAAAATAACAACACTTCTTGTTAAAAATATAAAAGTAAAAA